TAGTACACCTTCCGAGCTCCTGGGTTTTCTTGGAGATGGCCTTCGCCCACCCTGACAAAGCCCCAAACAATTATGTAAGGGCTGCAGAGGCTATCTGGGCATTCCATTTCTTCATCAGCGAACAAATGCGAACAGAAGAGAATGAAAACTTCGTAATACCAGCTGTTTTTTAATAAATGGCATAATATGCTACAATTGCTAGTTGCACTATTTTACGCGAAGAAAATTGTGATTTTGCGGTTCAATCTCCGTGTTTCCCGTTCTCTTTGCTGATACGCAAGATATTTGTCGAGTGCACCGTGGTCGGATGTCAAGTTTTCAGTTACATTTGTTGACAGAAACTAAATATACGTTTGGCCACGAAGAAATTTTTTTCAAAGGCTGAAGATAGCTGAAATATATCATAAACCGTTTCAGGTTTTATGGAAGTTTGTTTTTACTCTTCTTAGTAGCTTCAACGAGGCGGCCGTCACTCTGGAAAACACCTGTAGTACGAACCTATATATTATGCCCCAGAAATGGTCAGACTGTGTCCCTCTGACTGCAATATCTTTGACTTGTAATTACTCATGATTATTACTTTGTACAAAAAACAAAAACACAATAGTGATACAATCACTCTTCAGTGTGCCGCTGTTAGAACGACACATTTTCAACTCTCTGGGTAGAGCTCAAAGTTCAAATAAAAATACCCATCTTTTTTCCTTCTGCTGTGATGTTCAAGTTCCGTTCACTCGAGATAAATATGCGGTGTTGTAGCGTGTGTGGCCGCATGCGGAAGTATCTGAATGTAAAAGAACTTGTTGTTGGGCTAGTTATTGGTGTTGACTATTTGAGTGTGTTTTAGAACTGCAGAAAAAGAGCAAAAAAAAAAAAAAAAAGAAGGAGAAAAGCGAGCCAGCCCGAACCCTTTTGAGCTCATATCCAGCCTGCCTAACTAATCCCTGGTGTTTGGGATTGAAGCAGAGAACCTTGAAGGGTTACAGAGATTTTGTCGGGGGGCCGGTAAGCCCATTAGCACTCGTGCGAGAAGGCCGTAAAAAGCGAGGATGAAAATGGAGGAGGAAAGGGGAGGAGGAAAAAAAGAAAAGAGGGGGAATCTTCTGCCACGCTGAAGAAAATTTTGAGCGCCCGCCTCTCAGAGAATGCGAGCTTGACCCAGTTCGGCTTTTGTGATGAGCTGGGATCGTGCATGCTGCATTGTTCATGCAGGCCGAGTGGAAACAAAAGAGCCCCTCCCCCCCTTCGCCGGAGAACACGAACTCCAGCCGAACGCTGACGCTGCGCTCGGTTATGTCGGCCGAACGCTGCGTCATTGTATTTGTTGTCCCCATCCGTGTAGTTGTTAGGTTAACCGCTTGGGGCGTCGCGGTCTGTCCTCCTCCTCAATATGTGGAGCACAAGTTCATCTGCTTCTTTTGCACGGGTTGTGGTGACGTCAGAAAGACGCCAAACCCTGAATGGCTCTTATTGAAAAAAAAAAATAATGGGTAGACCTTGAGGCATTCAGGCGTACCAAATATTCTTTCAATCAAAGTCAATCAGAGCTCGGCAAAAAAAAATCATTAAGAATCTTATGACCTAGACGCTTAATTAGCATGAAAAAGCCTATGTCTAGAGTATCCCCAAAAAGTTATATTGATGTAGCGTAACAAGTAGGAAAAAGGGATGGAGTGAAATATGGCACCTCCGATAGGCTAGAAAAACGTCAGTTCCCACCTCGGCCGCTTCAACAATCCATAACCTAAAAAAAAAATATATATATATATTTGACGAAATTGCCGTTTGCATTTTTGCATCTGCTTTCATTATAGCAATTGCCCCAAAACATATATTTTTTTCGTGAAAATTAAAAAGTCGACCCTAAATCCGTGCCTGAGTTGAGATGAAATCACCCATTTAATATATACATATACATATATATATATATATATATATATATATGATTTATTTATAAAATATAAAAAATCGAACATTTGTAATGGGTAATTTTGTAATCAATTACAGCAAAAGTAATTGAATTACATGGATCGTTACTCCTTAGAACATATCGCAAAGTACTTATTTAAAAATATATGAAACCCATAAAGGTGCTTGGTTTATAAATATATACTCAACGGTTATAGATGGTCTAGAATTCACGGAACAAACGAGCAGTTTCAAAAAAGTTGAATTTTATAAAAGCGAAATTGTTTTTTTGATTTTTTTCATTGCCAGTATCAAAAATATTGCAAAATATAGTTTTTAAAGTATAAGCCAAAAGGTGTTTGGTCTAAACTACACAATTTACGCCTATATGTAGCCTGTAACAAAGACAACAAACGAGCAAAGTTTGAATAAAGTACTTTTTCTAAAAGCGAGAAAAAAGTTTTTAACTTTGGCCCAATGCAACCCCAATGAGCACAACTCAAAATGGTCTTCTGGAACAACAACAAAAAAAGTTTAGTAAAAACTTATTAAAACAAAAATAATCAGTAATTTTTGCGCACTTTCCAATCAATAAGCTTTTAAATAAAGATTGTTCTATTTTGACAAAAGTCTAAAAGGATAAGGTAAAAGGCAACTATACGAGAGGCCCCATCCACCCAGTGTTTGCTCTATCATTTCGCTTATTAAAGGTACGGACAATGAAAAAAAAAAGCCTAAAACATAACTTGAGACTCTTGGGCAAGGCCATTAACTGTCAAGGTCCATGGATGAACGAAGGTTCCCCGAAAACCCCAATATCACAAAATAACGACGCAGGTGTGAGATTGTTCCTATGAAGATGCAGACGGCAGCACTATAGTCGCTCACAAGGTTAGCATGGCAAGGGGGAGGTTCCGTTGTCGCCACCTCCTGCGCGGGCTTCCCACCTTCGACAATGCTTGGGCGTCACGTGCACCCCGAGCACGCATCCAAAGCACGACGGAAGGCACGGAGCGCGTGCCGGAGGTCGGGTGTTCGAAGGACACACACACCCTGCTGTTCTCATTCTGTAAGGTACTAGCTGCGTTCGATTTACCCGCAGCTCTTGCACCGGCGCAGACAAGAGTAGGGCGGTCTACCTCCGGTCGTATCTGAATACACATACCGGAAGTACAAACTGCCCTACACGTTTCTGCACTAGTGCAGGGGGTGCAAGCGAATCGAACGAAGCCAGTACACACACGCCTTTCCAAAAAAAAAAAAAGGGGGCTTTTGGTTGGATCTATTTTCAGTGTTCGTGCGTATGGCGAGTGATTTGCTCTCTTTCCGAAGCGGCGAACATGCGCGTGCTGGCCTGAGGATTGGAATGGTGTAAAGCTGGCGTCGGTCTGCTTTGTAGTACGGTAGTATATCGTTTTCTAACGTATGCAATGACTCGCGTTCCTGCCACAAAACGGGGACAAAACAACAACCACAACAACAAAAATTAACTTTTAGTTTTCAAACTTTGCTTGTTTTTTTGTTTTTGTTTCAATTATAAACTATATAAACATGTTAAGTATGTATTTTTAGAGCGAACAGCTTATTTCTTTTTTTTTTTCATCGGGGCTTTAATAAATTTATTTAAAATTTGCCTAAAAACTGTTTACTTTAAAATACTTTTTTTTTAAAACTTTGGTCGTTTGTTTTCTTAGTTGTATACTTACATAGAACCCTGTGTATGCATTTTTTGACTAACACCTTTTGGTTTTTGCTTTGAAAACTAAAGATTTTGCAATATCTTTAACACTGGCAATCGGCCAATTAAAAAATAATTTTTTTTTGCTTGTTCCAAATAACGTTTCTTAAAGTTAATTTGCTCGTTTGTTGCGTAAATTGTATATTACCGTTGAATATATACTTTAAGACTGAGCACCTTTACGAATTTTATTTAACTCAGCAGCTTCTTTTATGTTCAACATTAAACATTTATTAAAAAAAAACTTTTTATTAAATAAAAATACCTTGTTTTCCTTACTACTAACATAGATAAGTTCAGAATATTCACATGGTAGCGTGTTTCTGAAGATAAAAAAGTGAATATAAGCTTTTTCGGGCACGTTTTACTCATCTGCACCCTTAAAAACGCTCGGAAATGCGTGACAGAACAGATTGGATAATTTAGAGGAACATATTGACCGACTTAAAACAGTGCTTATTTTGCAAACTCGTTTGCAGCCTTCTATTTATCGTTTTTTTTATCCCTTCGAGTTCTTTTCCAAGCAAAGTTTAAGGGTGTCGTTACAAAAAAAGTTATTGCAAAACGTTTTTGGAAAATGCACTTTTACGTCACCAATAACACATACAATATTTCTTAAACCGAATCCGTGAGTGTCGAATTTAGGCCTAGATCGTTTGGAGTGGAATGACTCTATCAACGAACAGGAGGACGAAGAAAGAAGTGACGTAGCGCTTTTGTCATTCCTCGATTGACCTCTTCAACTCAGCGTCGGCTGCGCTGAAAGTTACGGTGAAAAGAAGCACCGGTTGTTTGAGAAAAAAAAAACTGTTTTCTCAGTGAAAAAATAAGCTATGCGTCGCTGTACGCTCAGTTTCCACCCAAATGTGCGCTAGCTGTTAGCACCAAATGCCAAAGTAAAAAAAAAAGAAAAAGATACAGTTGTTTGTTCTAAACGGTTATTTATAATTTCAAAATGCGCTTATAAAGTTATAAGCAAAGTTAGAAAAAAAAAATGAGGGAGGGAATGGCCACCAACAGAGCCCGCAAACACATTGAGATGAATGGCAAACGCTACGGGAATGGAGCCCTAATTTCTTGATAAACATTTGCACAAATCGCCGGGAACTTTCGATTGAGATAAGGGTTAGCTCTGAAACTTTTCCATCTGGGACTCTAATCTGGACAGTTGGCGAAAAAGCCGGAGAAGAATCCGGCGGCCAGGATTGGTCGACGCCTTGACAACACAATCCAATGACAAAGCAAGACAATTCAATGCCAATACAATACAATGCCAACCCCAGGTGGTCCTTTCTTGGGGCGTGTCCCCTCAGACATGGTCTTTACATTCACCACGTCCCCGACGTATTCGCAGTGTCTACCGTGGCCCAGAGGCTAGAAGCCGTGGCCAACCTGAACATCAAGCCTCGGAGGGTGCTCAAGGGACACCAGGGGAAAGTGCTCTGCTCAGACTGGTCCCTGGACAAGAGGCACATCGTCAGCTCGTCCCAGGTAAATATATCGGGCCATTAACCACAACTGAAGTGTTAAGATATTACTTTGGAAGGTATAATTACCGTATTTTAAGGTGTATAGGTAGCACCGTTTTATAAGTTGTATCCTTTTATAAATGGCCATTTTCACAAAAAGACGTTGGTGAATAGGTCGCAGTTAACAAATTGGACGGTCAGCGAGTCGAGACTGCGTTGGGAAGCCTGCATACGTGTATTATGATTGCAATATATCTGCGAGCTGGAGCCAGTTTTAATGTTTTCGCCAGCTAATCAAAAGAGGAACCTAACCCCTGAGGCATCTTTGCGCAGGTAAGGCCCACACTTATAGGAAAAGAACACATATCAGTCAGACCGTTGTGTAAATCGCACCGACCAAAATGTTTGGAAAAAACAAAACAAAACAAAACACGAGCTGGACAAGTGTACTTTTGAAGGGAAAGCTTGTGCATTACGTTATGAATAGTGAATATCCTACGCGCCTCAAATGAAAAAGAGAAACACATTGAAGCTTGATACAGCTACCCGGTGAAGTGGCAGACGTCAGTGACTTAGCACAATACTATGTAGAAGACAAAACCTGTGCTTTGCGTCATCGTCAGTGTAGCTCCGTCCTGTTCCAAGCGGCAAAACGCTGAAGCTCCATCGAAAGTATCCCGCACAGCGGAAAACGCGCCAAGCATGAATAGTATTGGGCCCGCTGTGAGACACTTAAAAAATTTAAAATATGAGTGCGGCTATGTGCACGTGAGCTAGGTGGCGTGATTCTACTGGTGATGGAGGCTAGAGCGAGAAAGGCACATTTCCCTCTAGGCGACATTGGCCGGATTTTTTCACAGGCCCGCAATTCACAAAGCGTGATCGGTCTTTGAATCGTTGACTGTGAATTTTGTCGATGGTTTCGCGATCGACTTAATCTAAGGGTTGAATTGATGTTAGGTTTGTCGGAGACCCAGAGTGACCATGGACCATAAGAATTTTAATTTCTCGTTGTTTACAGGACGGCAAGATGATAATCTGGGACGCCTTTACGACGAACAAGGTAAGAAATTAGTAGCCCTCGCATAGACGAAACGAATAATTATTACCACCGTCCTTAGATGTCTGTCGTTTAGAAACTCCTCCGCTTTCTTTCCATTTAATGTTTTCCGTCACAATTTTTTTTTATTTTAGAGCATCCAAATAGTCTGCACAACGGAAATTAGTAGACTCTTGTGACACTCATTTATAACGGTCACTCTACACCTGGGAGGCGCTAGAGCAGAATGTATTTCAATAAAATAGGTAGATGCCAGCGCCCGTCCTCCATTGTCACTCTTTCTCGCTCTCGTCGTCAGATTATTAGGATAGGTCTCGTCATCTTCATGGAGCAACGTCCGGCAGCAAATGCTTTGTGTACGCATGAGCAGCTTTGTACGCGTTGTTCGTGACGCTGGTGTCTTTTGAAACACTGAAAATCCCTTTTTATTGCACTGAGGTAGAGAGAGAGAGAGAGCGAGAGAGTGGGACTCGTCCATTAACATCTTTCCGAAGACCTTTCCAAAGATCGGCTTCTGCGCGCTGCCATCTTTTGCCTGCTGGGCTGTGGAACGCGTTCTGAGCATGCGCTCTAGCTCTCTTGTACGGTATATCCGACGCTGCACGTGCGTCCACAGTTTAGTGACTCGGCATTTTTCGCCCGAGTGATAAGCCGTGGAAAGGTCTATATCCTGTCCAGACCGGTTATAACGAAGTCGGTTATGACGAAACAGCAGCTACGGCGAAGCGATCACGATTTCTCATTCTCTTTTGCATCTCGTTAACCGAAGTCGGTTATAACGAAATAGCGGATATGTCGAAGTGATTTTCGATTGCTGTTGACTTCGTTAGAACCGGTCTCGACAGTGCTGCGCTTCAGGTTACGACCGGGCGCGACCGACGAGCGGACGGGACCAATCAAACAGTCTATATAACGCAAGTCATTGGACCTTTTCTGTCCATGATTGGTTCAGGGATAATATAACACGCACTGAAACACGGCGAACACCATCTTGGCACGTGCGCTTTGACGCTGTATGTTAATTGGTCCATGCATCAACTCGTAGCTTCGGCTACGTCTGAACTTGATGTGAAACCGATATAGCCAATCAAGTGGCGCCAAAGGTGCCAATCAGTCACAGTGAATGCCCGATGATCCTAGCTGCGCCTTTGCCTGTGTGTAATTGGACCAGCCGGTGATCGGCAAACGCACAAAGATTATAAGCGCCGTGACGATGTACTTTTGGTGTTGACGTACTTGGCGTAAAACGAAGCGTAGTTGGTGCCTCGCCCAATCTGATTGGTAGTGCTTCCTTCCATGGACAGCGCCCCTCTAATCCTTCATTATGTTCCTAGGGAAATCTCTCCCGTTTGCCAGAGTCGCACCGCTCACGCACCGTGCAAAAAGCGCGGTGTTAGCATGCAGACCAGGTGACAGGCGTCTAAAGCGTGTTGGAAGCCTGCTTGTTTCATACTATATGCTATGTATGCTTGAAGCATGTCTGGAGATAGTTTTTTTAAGGCCAATTTGACGGGACCTGTTGAAATGCCTTTTGTACGATGCATTGGCTTTGTAACGGCGGCTCTAAAGGGCCTCTCCAGCCTAAAAATAGCGATCGTAGGTCTTAACGCCTCGAGCAGTTCTACGTACCTTCAATTACGCTGCTAAATTATTGAACCAAGATAACTGATCTTTCATCGGGGAATAATTTGAGAAGCTCGGGTTTGGATACACCCATATCCGCGTCGTCACTCGACGAGACCTGTGACTTAACGAGATACTACAGCCACTAATTGTGACGTCACGTCTTTTTCGATTCCTCTTCTTACCAACGTTGAGCCGCTCTTCCGAGACACCCGAGATACCCGATATGTATCTTGGGCCAATTCGCAGACGTCTCAATGATCGGCTGCGAGAGCGTCGTAACCGCACAACCATTACTGTCTCTGGCCATCTAAGGATTCACTGCCGAGACTGTGGTTGTAATCCCCAGTTTAAAAAAAAAAAAAAAAAAGATGCACTTTATAGGAGCAGAGTGGCAACCCTCTAATTAAAAAAAAAATATTGAGGCAGGGAAGATTGTGCGACTCGATGGCAAGTGTATCCATTTCTTTATCCGCCAAAGAATTATACTACTTGGTGAAGTGGTCAAAGTGATGAGTGTTAATTTCTAAAGTGTTTTTTTTTTTGTGCCATGATCTTACTTGTAACAAGCAGGGGAAAAAAGTAAGTTATGAGTCAGTGCTGTGTTTGTTCTTCTATGTGTCCTCTCCTTTTTACTTGTTTGTAACGCGCTGTGGCTGCTAATATGAACTGGAGGCGCGTTGGTTGACGCAACGCGATTGACGCGATGACAATGGCGGGAAAGGAAGCACGGTATATATGGCGAGGAGGACCGAGGGAGGAAAGCCAGCAGTCTGGTCCTATTACGTCACGGTTCGTTCATCGAGTGAGTTGCGATACGGGAACTTCCAGAGACGCTTATATGCTTTTTTCTTCACAACGCGAGCTGAAATTTCGTGGTGACTTCCACGAGGAGGCCCTTGTAGCTGCCAGGAGGTTTCTACATGGAGGCCCATATTTTAGGCTGGGGAGGCCCCTTAACGTTATCAAACGTTTCCGATAATAGAGACGTGTAGGGCTCGAGGTATTACGAAAACGCTCGCCGTGAAAAGCGTATCGGTTCCACGTTGGTTTCCAGGAGCATGCTGTCACCATGCCCACCACATGGGTCATGGCGTGTGCCTACGCTCCTTCTGGCAACATGGTGGCTTGCGGGTAAGGCCTTCATCTTTGATTCATCGGAAGTCATGCAAGCGCTCGTTCAGTATATTTTAAGTTGAAAGCAGCATTGTCGGATACCTCCTGGCCGACAGCAACACGACTCCCCATTTTTGATTCCAGATCCCATCAAACCTCGTTTATTTGTATGGGTATTGCGAGAAATAGAAAAAAAAAAATATTTCCCAGTGTCAAGACAACACAAAGAGCATTGCGCAGTGAGAAATTCGTGAATAATAGTTTTTGTAATGAAGAAAAAAAAAAGCGTGCAGTATCTATCGTGCAACGAAAGGCCTAGATATTCGCGTCTTTCTGGATTGAAATTCTTTGGTTCCGAAATTATTCATAGCGCGAATAGAGTCACAGCCAAATATCAGCAGTGCGCACACCAGGTGGCGGGTTCGAATCCCGACCGAGGTGCCCGCAATATGACGGAGGCTTATTGCGGAGAAGGCGCCGTGTAACCGAGCTTTCGGTTGCACGTCGAAAGATCCCCAGGTGGTCGAAATTAATGCTCAGTCCTCCGCTGGGGCGTGCCAGATGCCCGTCGTAGGTTTGGCACGTAAAACCCCCAAATGTGACTTGCAGCAGTGCGCACCCACGAGCGCACTACCAGGTAAAAGTACAATGGCAGTTACGAGTATTCTATATAGAGACAAATACAACCTTGTCAAGGAGATAGGCTTAAATTGAAGACCATTGTGCACACGCCTCAACATACACTCTAAGAAATGCCTGCGCGAATTCTTACCCGCAAAGCACTCGAAGAGCCAATCTTAGCGATCTTCGATATCAGCTCAGTGCATGGTGAGGCAGAACATCCGTTTAGACCTAAAAATAATGTCTGCTCTGTGGCATTACGCAATGCAAAGCGTCATGCTCGCAATGTGTAATGCCACAGCGCAGACTTCATTTTGAGGTCTAAACAGATTTTAGGCCTCATCATTCGTGGAGCTGTTTTGTAGATCTCAGTGATTGGGTGTTGGAGTGTTTTGCGGGTAAGTAGCGCGCAGACATTTCTTAGAGTGTATAAACAAAAAGGAGAGAGCGTAACGACCTCAGATCGCCACGGCCAGACTGAAAATGTCCAGATTCTGCATTGTCGATGCACCGCCGGTGCATCGACAAAGCGGACTCTGGACACTTTTCGTGGTTCTAGCTGAGGGTTCGTGGAGGTTAGAGACTTGGCGGTGCTTGACCCAGTCTTGTGGATTGCATTGCAGCGGTCTGGACAACAAGGTGACCGTGTACCCGCTGAGCTTCGAGGAGGACGTGTCGACCAAGAAGAAGGCAGTGGGCACGCACACCAGCTACATGTCCTGCTGTCTCTTCCCCAACTCAGACCAACAGGTATAGAAAAGGCACAAACACGGGAGAACTGGAAATGGGTGGGCTAGCGAGTTAGGTGTTCAAGGGTCCTGGGGCCCTGACCTACATAAAATAATTGGGGGGGGGGGGGGGGAGGGGGTTGTGGGGATATTTATACAGCGTGTAGTTGGTCTGCCATTAAAGTTGCGACGAGTCACACGCTGTAGATGAGCAATTTAGCCAGTGCAGTACAATCGCTAGCCTGGGGTCTTTAACGTGCACCACGCAGTTGTGATCCACGACCGCACGCCGGTACGATGCTCATCCAGATCGAAACGGGCAGGGGTGGGGCTCGAACCCAGCATCCCTGGGTTCTGCAGCGCGAGCTTTCGCTCCACGCGCGTCGAGCTCGGTGTGCGCTTCAGCCCACTCGGCCACCGATCCCCCCTGACCTACATGGTGGGACCAGTGAGCCGGGACATCGCCGCCTGCTGCGATTGGTCAACCAATGAAGGAGTGCAATTAATCACTTCATCCGATCACGCTACAATCCGATGCACTCAATGAAGCAGCGCCAAAAATGCTTCGTCACGGCACTCGCGTTCTTTTTGTTGGTTTGCTATCTTCAACTAAACCAGTCACACAGAGAAAAAACAATGACCGTGCCTTCACCGCGCGTGATTGGATTACATGGTGTTGGCAAACGTACAAAGAAAACGAGGGCGCAATGATTCACATTTGGCGCTGCTTGGTTGACTTGATCGAATCGTAGTGTCGACTGCGGCCGGGCTCGAAGCAAAACTGGATGTAACAACAATAGGGAGATTTGGCGGATCGTTCCGATACTTCCGATAACGATACCCAATACGATCGTATCGTTATCGGGTTTTATCGGGTATCGTTTTAGGGGCTATCGGGGGTGTCGGAACGATCTACAAAGGCTCTCTACACTCTAAAAAACGCCCGTGCGTCTACTTTCCCGCACAACACCTCGGAGAGCCAATCACCGCTACTTACGGAGGCAGCTCAGCGAATGACGATGCCGAAACATATGGTTAGACCAAGAAACGCAGACTGAGTTGTGACATCAAGCAATGCAAAGCGTCATGCTTGCGTTGCTTAATGTCACAACTCAGACTGCGTTTTTTTGGTATAACCATATGTTTCGGGATCGTCATTCGCTGAGCTGCCTCCGTAAGTTGCGGTGATTGGCTCTCCGAGTGTTGTGCGGGAAAGTAGGCGTACAGGCTTTTTTAAGAGTGTATTGGAATGATATACTGAAACTCCCTAATACGTCTGGGGTCTAAGAATGAAGACGAAGTCATTTGTATCGAAATAGGCGGGTGGTTGGGAAGCAACGCAATACATGTTTAGCTAGGAAGATATACGTATCCTCATGGGCGGTTGCAGATTCTGACGGGCAGCGGGGACAGCACGTGCGCTCTCTGGGACGTCGAATGTTCCCAGCTGCTGCAGAGTTTTCACGGGCATTCCGGCGACGTCATGGCCCTCGACCTGTCTCCCACTGAAATGGGCAACACGTTCGTCTCCGCGGTGAGTCACTCCTTCCTGAAAGTCACCAGCTAGCCCTCGGAGCCATTAGAGCCACAGTCGCACCGCTCGTTTACCATACAAAGAACACCTTGTTCGCTGCAGACGTGATGACAGAACTGTCCGCGGACGAGCCTCAAGCATGTTTAAAGCTTATTTTTTCAATATATATATATATATATATATATATATATATATATATATATATATATATATAAATATATATATATATATATATATATATATGAACACCCTTCATATATATATATTGTTACAGGCTCACTGGAGTCAACTTCAGTTCCGGCTGACGGAATGCCACTTAACGTTCTCTAGGGCACCATTCTACTCCTCGTCCTCCTCTTCGTCGGCCTCTAACACTCTCCCCCGCCCCCGTAAAAGTTATCACAGCACAAAAAGCAATTCATCAGCCCTTTGGTTCCCACAATTCACTGACCCGGAGAAGAAGGAAGAACACTTGTGCGTGGGATGTACATTTTCAGGTGATGCACATGCGCTGAAAATGTCTTGGTCTTCCGTGAAGTTCCCCAATCTCGAACTTCATAGGTTAGTGGTCCAATTTTCTTAGTGACTTCACAGGGACCCCTATACTTAGGCAGAAGCTTCTGTGCTCGACCTTTCTTTCGCTGTTCCCTCCGAACCAGGACCAAGTCACCCGGAGATAGACATGGCGTTGAGCCAGGAGCGCTGTATCGAGATGCCGCACGCTGTTGGGAATGTAATATAGCCATTCTTGCTCGTTTTCGTGCGTCATCTAGGCGGTGCTGAAAGTTATTGTCAGCAAAATCGTCTCCCCTATTCCGCCACGCTACAGATGATGAGCATTCTTGAGGAAGCACCGCCGTTCTACCATGAACAAGTTGAAATGGTGTAAGTGGTGCTTGACTGCTTCACGGTATTCATCGCGAACGCGGCAAAAGGAACAAAAGTGTCCCAATCAGTGTGTTTGACATTTACGTACGAATAAAGAATTCCAGCAATTGTTCTGTTAGCTCGCTCAACCAACCCGTTCGTCTGCGGTCGGTAGGGAGCTGCTTTAGCATGAGTTATGCCTTGAGAGGCTAGCTCTTCTGAAAACACGGCAGAGGTAAAAGCTGTACCTCGATCAGTTATGATCATCCGTGGCACTCCGTGTCGCAGGAGGAGCTGGGTTCTAAGGAACCGCACGACTTCTTCGGTTGATGTACTGGCCACGGGGCATAACTCTACCCATTTGGTAAGATGATCTACCGCCACTAGAATGTAGCGGTTGCCGTCTGATGTACGTGGAAAAGGCCCGAGATGGTCGATCCCCCACACCTCGAATGGAGCCTCAGGTGGTGGTATGGGGTGAAGTTCACATGGCTTGCTTGTATTTGGTGACTTGCGTTGCTGACATTGTGAGCAAGAGGCTACGTAGCTTGCCACGTCCTTTCGAAGCCCAGACCACCAGTACCTTTCTAATATCTTCTGGAAAGTTTTGTCACGGCCTAGATGCCCCGCCGTAGGGTCATCGTGACAAAGATGCAGTACCGCTCCGCGTAGTGAAGAAGGGACAACTGGCACCCAATGTTTAGTGCTGGAACTGCGATGGCAAAGTAACCCGGCACGAACCTGGTACGCTTTACGTAGGCGATTAGTCGTGGGTGGTACGTCAGTCGTTTGAAGTCGAGACACGATGTCCTGGATTTCACAATCTTGTTCCTGGCCTGCGTTCAAATTAAATGTAGACGCACAAAAGCAAGCATCGTGGTCAGGAGAATCCGGCATGTTCTTCATCGGATGACGAGATAGAAAGTCTGCATCTTGGTGTTCTTTGCCACTCCGATGAACAATTGTGAAGTTATGTTCTTGAAGTAAAATCGACCAACGAGCTAGTTTGGCCGTTAGATCTTTCTTGCTTTGGAGCCATGTCAAGGCTGAGTTATCGGTCACAACAGTGAAGTGTCGCCCGTAGAGATATGGCCGGAAGTGTTGCACTGACCAGACTAGTGCAAGACACTCAAGTTCTGAAGAATGATACCGCTGTTCTGCGTCCGTCAGACGGCGACTTGCGTATGAAACAACACGTTGCGTGTCGTCGCCATCTTGTTGCAACAAAACAGCACCGAGTCCCTCTCCACTGGCATCTGTGTGGAGATAGGTCGCCTTAGCAGGGTCAAAGTGGGCGAGAATTGGAGCACTCAACAAGGCACTCTTCAGGTCTTCAAAGGAAGCTTGTTCCTCTGCTGTCCATCGCCAGGGTACATTCTTGCGTAGCAGACGGGTCATTGGAGCCGCACGGCGCGCATAGTCAGAAATGAATCGGCGGAAATATGATGCGAATCCCTGGAAACTTTTTACTTCCTTTAAGGATGTTGGAACAGGATACTCTGCGAAGGCTTGAAGCTTGACAGGATCTGGTGTAATCCCTCTTTTCGATACAACGTGTCCAAGGTAGGTTACCTCTTTATACCCAAAGTAACACTTTTCCGGTTTCAGGCGCAGATTGGCAGAGGAGAGCGCATCCAATACTGATGTGAGTCTTTGGAGGTGTTCATCAAATGTGCTTCCATAGACAATTACGTCATCTAGATATACGAGTGCCATGGTCCACTTCAGGTGGCCTAGCACCCTGTCCATTAATCTCTGAAATGTTGCAGGTGCATTACACAGCCCAAAAGGCATTCTTGTAAACTGGTAGAGTCCATCAGGTGTTACAAACGCAGATTTTTCTGCATCCTTGGGGTCCAGCGCAACCTGCCAGTATCCTGACAGGAGATCCAAGGTGGTGAAATATTATGATCCCTGTAGTCGATCCAGGGCATCATCCAAGCGAGGTAGGGGGTACACATCCTGTTTCGTAAGGCTGTTGATTTTTCTATAGTCAACACAAAACCGGATTGCACCATCTTTTTTTCGGACGAGCACCACTGGAGAGGACCATGGGCTTGATGAAGGAACGACCACCCCTTGTTGAATCATGTCCTTAACTTGCGTTTGAATAACACTCCGTTCGGATGGAGCAAACCTACGCTGTGACTGGTGAATAGGTCGACTGTCCCCAGTGTCGATGGAATGCTCGACTAAAGACGTGCAGCCGAGTTCATTTGGAGAAAGTGCGATGCAGCTACGATGACGTTGAAGAAGCTGTCGAAGTGCTGTCATCTGTTCTGCGTCAAGGTCAGGATTAACATTAAAATTTTCCCATGGAAGACTGGGTATGTCTGCCTGTGAGTTGAATTCAAGTGCGACTGTATTCACCTGCACTTCAGGGCAGGAGGGCTGGGCGGTTCCGACTTGTTCCCCAGGTTTTAGCGTGATGTCGTTCAATCCAATATTTACAGCCAAGATGACGAAGTTTCCCCGCAGAGAAGATGCCAAAGTGTGGGGGGAGACAAACTCGTGTCCAGGTTTAGCTTGAAGGAGAGGTTCGTAAATGACGTCGCCGCTGAAGCTCTGGTCGGGCGTATTCACCGGAACCCACGCAGCAGAGCTCGGGGGTATGGTGACCGTTTTGCATACGTAGACGTTGCTTGTCACAGGTGCGATACTTGCTGTGTCGGTACCAAGCAAAGTTCGAAGCACTTTCTGGACGTGGTCTAGCGAATCTCTCAGAAGTGCAGTGGTGACATTCCATACGTTGAAGATAACTCGAGCGGCACCAAGATGTAGCTTGTGCCTTGATAAGAACTTACTGCGGTCAATTGTCGATGTTGCGATTCTGTTGCCTCTTGAAGCCGGAAACTCATTATTAAGAAAGTTATTCTTACGGCACCACTCGTAGCCAAGCACTACCGGGCAAACAGAGTTCTCGAGCACCACGAACTCCACTGGTGATGTACTCCCAACTGTTTTCACTTGCAAAGTGAGAATACCCAGGGTGTGAATTGCAGTACCGTTCACAGTAAACAATCCAAGTGACGTCGGACGAAGACGTGCGTCTGCTGGAACCAGGGATGATGCCAGAACGTTCACTGCTGCTCCAGTGTCAAGAAGAGCATCTTGGTATCCAATACATTCGATCCAAACAGTAAATTTTGGAACCGACGATTGGTTACTTGCCACTGATGTTAGAGGAAGTTTTAGGGGAGTTACTGAAGAAAGCACCGTGCTCGCTCCACCGTTAACCCTGGAAGCTTGATCAGTGGCCTCAGACCGGGCTGGTTTTTGTGTAGGATTGTATTTCCTACTACCATGCCGCCTTTTGGGCGCCGAAGATAAGGCGGAAAGTGGTGATGGCGGCTCTTGTAGATGCCTAGCCCTCTGCACAAACTCTGTGGCCCTTTGAGCAGTTGCCGCGTTTAGCGCTTGATCCAGGGCATCTTTGACGTTTGTAGGTCGTGAAAGACGTACAAATACTTGAACCTCTGGATCAGCTATTGCGTCTACAGAAGCGGAGGTGCCATTCTTATCCTTTGCGTCTGTTGGGGCTCCAGGGTGTGCCTTGACAATCAAGCGCTGGATGTCGGCTGCCAGCTCCTGGAGGGTTTCGTGAGAGCGCTGACGGCGTAAACTTAACTCCGAGCTGTGCACTTGTTGGAGATGGCTATCTCCAAAACGTCGCTCCAGTGCTTCACGTAGGGCCGGGAATGATAGGGGAATACCATCAAATTGGTAAAGCACGTCTAGAGCTGGTCCTTGCAACTGGGAGACGAGCGCGTGAACTTTGTCGTCTTCCGTCCAGCCGTTGGCTTGTGCAATAATTTCAGCCTGGTACAGATAAAGGTGAACTGGTACGCTGCCGTCGAAGGGTTTTAACTTCAGTGACGGATTAGTCCTTGCACGGGTACCTCGGTTCACATTCGTCAAGGGGCTAACTGTTGAAACGATCTCACCTTCATCCAGGGTCGATGGACAGGCGTTGAGGTCATCTACAGAAATCCCCAAAGCGTCCCTTTGTGGCCCATTGATGTCACTCGGAAGAACATTCAAGCCAGTTTGAAGGCGTTGTAGCTGCGTTGGAACGCTCATGGAGAAGCCATTTTCAGCTGCTCGCTGCGAAGTGTTGCCGGAGTGGGACGTAACGTGCAGTGGATTCGCCATCGAAGTTTAGAAGTGATCCCACCGCTGCCACCAAAATGTTACAGGCTCACTGGAGTCAACTTCAGTTCCGGCTGACGGAATGCCACTTAACGTTCTCTAGGGCACCATTCTACTCCTCGTCCTCCTCTTCGTCGGCCTCTAACAATATATATATATATATGAAGGGTGTTTGACGAAAGATGGACAAATTCAATATTGGCGACGTGCGCGACCGAAAGCGTCGCTGTGGTCGGCCTTCCACAATTGGCCCAAAAGCTGACTATGACGTCGGAAAGGGTATGCCATCGACGGAAATAAGAGGAATGAAAGAACTTTAATTTCGATGGTGTTGGCAGTGTTGCTTTGAGAGCGCAATGATTTCAGGCTTCCACCATGCTATTTACAAACACCATCGAACTTGTTGTTCGCAAGGTAATGACGTCACAACGGGGAACCATAGGAGGGCGCCACCAAAACATCTCGCCGCTAATTGCAAAAACTACGTGTCGCTAAAAAAAGAAAAAAAAGCTGATGTCGTTTTGTTTCTAGGATAGGAGCCTATTCAGGAAAATGATTAAAGTTCAGAATGATTAATTTTTTAATTACTTTCACGTAATTAGACTTTTTAAATATTGAGTTTAAGGGCATGGTTTCATTTGGAAAATTGCTGAGCATCATCGAAAAACACTACATAAAAAAATTGGAGTGCGATAGAAGGCACGCGCTGCATTTTACAGATCCCTGAAAAACCTGAAAAAACTTCGACAGGTTTTTAAGTTTCGGTTTGCAATCGGAGCGCTTCTCGGCATCGACGGCACTGCGCCCCGTGGGGAAACAGTGCAACCAACAGTTGCTTCGCTGTCGTCGCGCAACGTAGCAGAGGCAGGTTGCACTATTTCTCCACGGGGCGCGGTGCCGTCGGTGCCAGGGAGCGCTCCGATTGCAAACCGAAGCTTAAAAACCCGTCGAAGTTGTGCGGTTGTTCAGAAAGCTGTAAAATGCGGCGCGGGCCTTCTATCGCACTGCAATTTTTTTTATTTAGTGTTTTTCGATGATGCTCAGCAAATTTTCAAATGAAACCATGCCCTTATAGTCAATATTAAAAAAAAATTACGCGAAAATAGTTAACAATTTAATTATCATGAACTTTAATAATTTTCCTATATAGGCCCCTGGCCTAAAACCAGAACGACACAAGCCTTTTTATGGTGCGATGCGTAGTTTTCGCAATATAGATTTTGCACACTTTTCGTGAAACACCCTGTATATGCATTTCTGCTGAGGGTTATGTATGACCAATATGACCAGACAAGGACAAAAAACGCGTGAGACAGTCTTTACAGATTGTCTTGTTTATGATGCTTAACAGCCACGAGATGAAACTCCCACACTAAAGTCGTTTACAGGCAGAAAGGTTTTTTTTGTTTTTTTTTCGGTTTGCATCGTTAAGGGTGTAAACATCAAAATCAGAGTGGTGGCAATTTTACCGGCCCATTTCTTCACTGACAGCTTAAAGGTCGACCAGCAAGGAGAAAAGAGGAAACTCTTCTTCAACTGCTCCTTTTCGCCCCAAAAAAGAGGGAGGCCTTCCTCTTTTTTGTGGGGAGTAACTCAGAGACCCGCTACTGTGGGAAAGGAGAAGAAAAAAGGGCGAGAGGAAATGAGGAAAAGGAAACCAGGAACCGCGATTTTCTGCCCGGCAGAAGACGATTCCGTAGGCCGGCTTTTAAGAAACGGCGGGTGTGGCGAGAACCATGTATCTTATTGTTGCTCCGCGGCCAGTTAGATTGCGACATTAGCTGTGATAAGAACGCCAATGAACGAATCACAAGAGACGAAGCGCGAACTTAATGAATCACTCTGCGACATTTCTCAAGGCGTCATGACCATAGAGATGTTCTCTACAAGTTAAAGGTGTTCTTTTCATGACAGACGCGTAACGTTACGAAAGAGTGTCTCGAGAAACTTTCACACGAACAGTAATCGGCCAAATTTGGCGGCGAGACATTCCTCGCCATGCTTGGCGGACGGTTGTCACGTCAGGTCATCCGAGTGACGGCGATCTCGTAATCGACGTGACGTGGTCATGCGGTGTCATTCAATGGGATGGCATGACCATGACTCGCGCCAGTGGGATGACATCACGTGATCGCTACGTCAGTCAAAGGAAGTGAGGCGCTGGCCTCGCGGGTGACGCCGCTTCACTTTCATTGGATGACGTAAGCGACCACGTGACCATCGCGTCAGCCAACCCAGCACAGCTCGAGATACTCTGGGTCCTGACTTCATCGAGAGCATTAAAAAACGTTCAACTTTTTCATTAGTAAGGCCTTTCGTTAATAGGTCGTGACTAGAGCCACCATGTAAGTGACGTTTCGGAGTAACGACACCGCAGCCATCTTGGTTCTTAAGACCATTGTTGCCAGTTGTCTGAAGCTTTACCCGAAATCGCGGGTAACGGTTGTCCGTCCTCCAGCAACTTACGAAACTGTCCACGACGAAGCAAAACGATGTGGCCCGTGCTTCCTGACGCCGTGTATAAGGCTCAGGAAGTCGAATTTTCGAACCGTAACGAAGGCAAATTGTGTCTGCTCCGCGTGCACCGAAATGGCGGCGGCCAGAACCACAAGAAAGTAGAAGATGGAGTTGATGGAGTGCCGATACTCCGAGTGTGGCCGCGGTTACACTGATGATACGTAATACAAGTCGGCGGACATTGTCTGATTTCATGCATGAAGGTGCTCTCACATTGGTCACACAAGAAATCACCGATGTCGCTGTCTAATCAAGCGATTAGCGGCAGACATAATTGACACAGCCGTGGGCGTTCACGTGTAAATTTCCCAGCGGGAAAACTGAATTTGTGTGCAGGTCACGTGACACCGAGCCACGTGATGTCATTTTCCCCGCTAAATTTAGCGGGGAAACTGATTTGGTATTTGAAATCATGGGAAGTAAATTTTCCCGCTAAATCGAGTGGGGATACTGAATTTGTGTACAGGTCACATGACATGAAGTCGCGTGACGTCATTTTCCCCTCCAAATTTAGCGGGGAAATTCATTTGGTATTTGAAATCATGGGAAGTAAATTTTCCCGCTAAATCGAGTGGTGATACTGAATTTGTGTACGGGTCACATGACATGAAGTCGCGTGACGTCATTTTCCCCTCTAAATTTAGCGGTGAAATCAAACGGCCAGAAACTTACCTCAAAGTTGCTTTCCGCGAGAAAGCTAATCGTTTTAAAACTGTCGGCAGACATATTCGACGCATACGTATGACGCTGATGCATACAGGTGATGATGATGATGATGATGATATGTACGAAGCAACCATGCTTTGCACTTTCTTGAGGCGTGTCCGCAGACAAGTATGCCATGGTGTCTGCAGTGAACGCCTTGTATCTTGTACGATGTATAAGCAGCCATACCATATGACTTATGATTCAGCGACCGTCGTCGCGATGTCTTCTGCTTGTTGGGTGCGTGCAGGGCTGCGACAGACAAGCCCTGGTATGGGACATGCGGTCGGGTCAGTGCGTCCAGTCCTTCCAGGGCCACGAGTCAGACATCAACACGGTCAAGTTCTACCCGAGCGGGGACGCCATTGCCACGGGCTCCGACGACGCCACGGTGAGTTTTCGGCCGGGAGAAAGTTCGCAGACGGGCCGAAAGCGAAAGGACCCAGGCTCGCGTTCGTTGAACTTATGGACGTTTGCAAGCAGCCGCACTTTGAAAGCTAGTCTGGCCACCGTGGATAGAAAACGCTTTGTTCGGGCGCCAGCGTGGAAACCGCACGTACGTCTCAGCGATGCTTCACTATCAGACGATCAGCACACACAGCAGCAGCAAAATGGCGGCGCCCAGAGAACGTACCTGCAAACGTCCTTAGACCAACACACCGTTTACAAGGAAAGCGGTGCCTGCCTGCACTCGATGTGGGCGCTGCAGGTGCGCAGAGACCAGGACTAAGGCGTACGTACAGTGCTAATCACACTTGTCTATAACGCGCGAGCGTGCGGCTTCCTCCGAGAAGCGCTAGACTGGTGGCATTCGCGGAAACTAAGCTAGTCACGTGGCGCAACATGGAACGGCTCGCTCGAAGGGTGTCCTCCCCACTCTATCAGCTGGGACAACCCCGCTTCGCTCATTCCGACTAATCTTGTTCGGACGTCTTTCGGCACTCGTGGTGTCATTGTAGGCGATCAGTGATTTTGTCCTGCAGGATTCTCTCGATACTGTTGAATTCGGTCAATTGATATACTTTTTTTTTTGCATAGTATCAAGCCTTATACCAACTTGATAAGCGATAAAAGTAAAGTGGTTTATGATATATTTTTGCTTTTTGGTGACGACATCGTTGATACGCCCTCATGCTTTAGTTCGTTTATTGTTCGAGCAATGATGTTCGTAAAAAGCGTGCGAGCAGCCTTCCGCGTTCGCCGCCAGCTGATAGAGAGGGCAGGACACCCCTCGAGCGGGCCGTTCCATGTTGCGCCGCGTGACTAGCTTAGTTTCCGCGAATGCCACCAGTCTAGCGCTCGCCGGAAAAAGCCGCACGCTCGCGCGTCATAGACAAGTGTGATTAGCACTGTACGTACATGCGCCGCGCTGACAGCAGCGCCACCGCAGCGGCGGGATGTCAGAGCCGCGCGTTGGTGTGTACGTCGAGCAAGTCGGCCACTACCAGCACCTTCCAGATAACGAGGCCGAACTGCCAGTTTTTTTTGTGCGTCACCTACCGGATGCCAGCGCGGGGCAGGGATTGGTCACGAGTGCTGCGTCGGCGTTCTGTTGGGGCTCGTGTCCAATCGGCGAGAACCATAGTCCCAGCCGAACGTCGAGAGACGAAGCTCTGGCATCCAATCCTCCTCTGCCGGTCTCTGCTAGGTGACGTAGAAAATACGGCACTATACGGCTTTGTGACCTGTACGGAGTGTCGTTAAAAAGTGCATCTCTCCACGCACGAGTGAGAAAACCCCTCCCCCCCCCCCTTTCCAAAAAAACAAAAACAAACAAACAAACAAACGAGGAACTAGGTACGTGTGCAAACAGGGTACACCCAAATACTTCACCATATACTTCGTTTTACCCTAAGCCCAGACGCAGCCGACGCTACGAGATGATGGGAGCAATCGGACAGCGTGGAAAGCGCACCTTCATGGTATTCGTCATGTTTCTGTGCGTGCTTTATCATCGCTGAACCAATCGGAAGCAAAAAAAAATGAAAGCCGTTTACAAATCCCTGTAACGCCGAATTGGAGCGCAGCTCTTGAGGAGGAGGAGGGAAGGGTACTGAGGGGGGTCACGTCACCTGCGGGTAGTCACGTGACCCCAGGGGGGTCACGTGATCTCGGGGGAGGGGGTCATGTGACCTCGGGGAGGGGGGTCACGTGACCTCGGGGGTCACGTGACCCCCCCCCCCCCCCCGGTTACGCCGACGCCGACGCCGACGCCGACGCCGACGCTTACGCCGCTCAGGCTGGAAACGGGCCCCTCAGAGCTGCGCTCTAGAAGGCCTAGGGACTTGCTCTTTTGACGCTGATTTATTAGGAGCTCGTGGCGTCTGCTGCGTCTGGACTTAAGCTTGAACGAGAGATAGGAGAGTATATTATTGTCCACTCATTTGCGTTAGACAGCGCGTCTACAGTGCCAAATCCTCCCCTGGCGGTGGGAACACACCACCTTTCGGGAGAGCGCATGTGCATCGCGCTGTCTGCGCTGTCGCGCTTTCACATTGCGCCGAGGGAGAGGGCTGCCGCCGACACACCGGGACACCGGATTCGCCGAGATAGCAGAGACGGCTGTCTCCGCTCTCTCGATGGCTGTCCGCGACGATAGATGGCGGCAGCCACCCCTCCCAATTCAAAGGGGAAAACACTGAGGCTGCGCGTGTACAGCCGCTGCAACTGCGCAGAAGCTGTCAGTTGGAAGGCCATTGGAATTTCGCCGAGTAAGATGTATTTCCTAATAGAAAATTTGGTACGCCCAGCAGGCCGCTTAGCCGGCACCATTCTTTCATTTACAAAGGAAAAGGTTCACCAAAGTATAAACGTTCCCCAGATAGCCTGCGATATTACCCTTATTTCAGCATTTTCTTTTTGATTGGTGAACCATTTCTCGGTAGTGAGTTCTGTTTTGTATAGTATATCTGGCAGTTTTAGTAGACGAACACAACGTAACCTTCCAGGTATTTCGTCTCCTCCTTCACGAAAGTCGAGTTCCTGTTCGTGAAGAACCGGTGGGTTTCCCAAAGGAGTAGACAAACAACAAGGTAGCGATTGGGTGGGAGATCGAACGATAAGGGGCACTTTACCGAGCTTGTTGTCCTCACAGCTCAGTGTTTACAAACCCAGCATAACCAAGAAATTGAACCTCGCCTAGCACGGTCCGGGCGCGAGCGCTTCGCCCTAACAAGTGCTTCGGTCGCACGAGGAGCGGCCTTCCAATCGTCATCTTCTGTTCGTGTCCCCACAGTTCAAGGGTAGAGACGTGACCGTGCGATCTCCTCCCCACGATTGTCAACAAACGCCGTCGCCTTGATTTGCCGACCGCAGTGCGAATTGCGGTGAGAAAACAAAATTCTAAAATCAGGAAGGTTCATAGGCAGGTGTGTATCTGAGGCACAACTGTGGTGTACTGTGATGGCTTGATTGGCGTGTAATAATAGCCCGTACCTTTCTTTTGCTTGTTTTTCGGACAGTGTCGGCTGTACGATCTGCGAGCCGATCGGGAGGTTGCTGTCTACTCCAAGCAAAGCATAATATTTGGCGTCAACTCTGTCGACTTCTCCGTGAGCGGTAAGAAAACAATTATTTACGTTATACAATCAATCAATCAACCAATCAATCAACTAGACAATCAATCGATCAATAATATGTTCGACTCATTCATTCAATCAGTGAATCCATCAATCAATCAGAAAACGAATCATTGTGTATTCATTCAATAAACAAATCAATTGTTTATTCAAATCAACCAATTTGTACTTTTTCTCGCTACATTATGCAAGAATACACTAAAAAGCTTGTATATGTTGCAGAGTCATCGACTGGCTTTGCAACATTTCGGCACGATGCGTGTAACTGGATCTGAGTTCTCGCCGAGCACAGGCTCAGCGCTCGCGTTTAATGCTTTCTCGGAGCACGTGCCCGAAACAATGGCGGATTTGGGCAGGGGCGGATGCAGGAATTTCCTGAGGGGGGGGTCAGGTGTGGGTCAGCGTACCATTTGTTTAGGAACCCCCTCCCCTTCTCCCTCGTTTCACGCCCTAAATTTTACACATGCAGAAATCAAGAGGGGGGCAGGACATCCAGACCCCCCCCCCCCCCCCCCCCTAAATCCGCCCCTGGATTTGGGTCATTGGCGTTGCAGCAACTGAACGGCGCGCACCATTGAAGAGGGTCTATGTGGAGTGCAAGTTCGTCCGCTTCTTTTGCAGGAGTTGGGGTGATGTCAGAACACCGAGCTCTGATTGGCTCTGGTTGAAGGATAGTGGGTAAACCTCGAGGCAGCTTGCTTTGAGGTCTACCCACTATCGTTCAATCAGAGCCCCGCAACCCCTGCAAAAGAAGCAAACGAACTCACGCTCCAAATTTGCCTCAGGCTCGGCGCTCCGCTTATGTAGCTTTCATGCACCCATGAAAAGACGTGCTTGCTTTGTGTGCGGTACTCTCGAAGACTGTCCACCGATATGATGTGTCGGCGACACCGTGTGCTTACATCTTCAGGTCGGCTGCTCTTCGCCGGCTACAACGACTACACCGTGAACGTGTGGGACGCGCTCAAGTGCGTTCGGCTCAGCATTCTCTACGGCCACGAGAACAGGGTGACCTGCCTCAAAGTGTCGCCGGACGGCACCGCTCTATCGACGGGAAGCTGGGACTTCACGCTGCGGGTAGGTTCCTCCGTCCCCCTCTCTCACGTTGACAGTCCTTTCGAGGGGAATCGGTGGCCTGTAGACCCGCACAGGGTGAGAACTTGAGGGAGGAGCTTCGGTTGTCCCGCCCACAGCGCGAGCTTCCTACCTTCGAAGACGCTTGAACGTACCGTGCACCTGAACCGCGCGTGCGCAGCCAAAGCAAGAGCGGAAGCCATGTAACGCGTGCTGGAGCCCGGGCGTTCGAAGGACACGCCCTGCCGTTCTCGCTCTGTCAGCGACTATGGCCATAGCCTCCTATAGTGACAAAGCCTGACAGATCACCGCGAGAAGCGGCCGCCGAAATTGAAAAGGTGGAGCGGCAGGCAACGGATGAGAGGAGAGCCACGTGAGTGGCGCCCCGCTGCGGCGAGACGCCGAAACACACTTCTTTCGAGCGAACGAGTGTGTTCCGGGTCCTCGCCGCTGCAAAACTGTGCGCTGACGTCCAGGTTCCCCGACAAATGGCTCTTTGGTGCTCTGTGCTACCAGGTCCTCGCGCTCCAAACCTGCGGCCGGGCACTCTTTCGCTCCGTCGTCGAACTGCAAGGTTTTGTGAGTGTAGAGGGGGCTATGCCATGGCGTCTTAAAGGGGCCCTCTGGAGTTTTCTGAGATAGTGTGTTTATGTTGTTATATTGCATAATAGGTGCAAGTTAATATGTATACAAAGTTTTAGATTACAAAACCCTTTATTAAGCAGATGGCAGTAGAAATATATCGGGACTATTTTCGCTTGGAAGACAATCCCCCATTCCCTGCCCATCGCTAAAACTTGACCAACGGAAATGCTACATCTCGCGGTGAATGCGAACGTTATTATTGCAACACCTTTTAAGCTTGCTGTAAATTAGAGGAGTTTGAAAAAAACGTAAACTGATTGTGGCGCCGGAAACGTAGTCCGCAATTATCGTTCCAAAACCAGCGAACTATGATTTCCCCACGCAAGCTTGTTGCTAGGGGCTGATGCGTCGGCGCGTCGGCTCGTCTGCTTCCCGGGGCGTCTGCAAGCGTGTGTTGGCGGGACACGTGTTCCTTCTTCCCGTGGATCCCGACTCCGAAGCCAGCTTTGCGATCCTTCCACGTAAACGAGTCACAATTTTCCTTGTCATCTGTGGAATGCGACTGCGTATTGCAGTAGCAGCACGACGGTGAGGTGCGACGAACGACGACTGCCGAGCACAAAGTCCGGGATCCTTGACGACGGTCCGCGCGTGTTCGAGAGATTCCTCCGCGGGTCGGCGGTCGGCCGCGTTGGTGACGCGCAGAGACGCCGGAATCCTTCGTTTGCCATTGGCTGACGCTTTAAGAGATGCCCCTCCCGTTTTCCGGGGTCATCTCAGAAAGGGGGCGTGCCGGGGACTTTGATGGCAATTTTAATAGGGAAATCCGCCGCGCATGACCGTAATTTTATGATTTTTAGGATCCTTAGGGCCTGTAGATTCAGTTACCGCCATAAATAGACCATCGCAGAACGCTCCGGAGGGCCCCTTTAACTCAGCGCAGCTTGGAGCACTTGGAGCGAAATCTCACTCTGCAAAACCCGTAGTTCCTGGGCTCAACCCGTCTCGAACTTGATGGCCGTCGTACCGGCATGAGGTCGTATATTACGGAATGCACGCGAAAAACTCCAGGCAGGTTAAGAATCGTACAGAACTACCAAATTTCTTTTATCTAGAGTGGGAGACACGAGACGCCCATCGAGGCTGGCTTCCCGCTCTCTAAACGTGCAAACAATTAGCGCAAATTCAAAGTTGTAAATTAATCACTGTCCCACCTCTGCCCGCGTAAACACATACACAGAAGATCGTCCAGGTAGAACCATCACCTTCCCGCATCGTTAACGTCAATATCATCGGTCGATTCATTTGTATATTTGCGCTAAGCATCAGTTTTTTTAGTGTAAATCTTAAAGGCTCGTGCTTTCACTGCATATTTGTAAAAGTTTCGATTTTATATTGGATTTTGTTTGTCTCGTGATTCTACTTCCGGCTTTCGAAGTGGAAGGACGTATCGGCATGAGCTCCGTCGGAGCGGCATTAACGGCTACTGATAGCCGCGGTTTATCTGCTGAGCCGGGTAACGAAATATATAGACCCTTTCTCTGTACTCTCGTCCCCAGCCACCTAATAGGCGTATACGGTATGGGCGACGAAAAAATACTAAAACGTTTTAACCTGTAACTAGTACAAAAAATAAAGGGGAGCCAAAACAATAATCTGTGACGGTTACGCTTTTATCCTAAGTGTCTTCTACTGGCGCGGCGACGGCAAAACAATATTTTCGCCCATACTGGAAGTGACGAAAATTCAAGATGGCGGCGCCCTTGAAGAAAATGTCTATAAGCTAGTGTTGCCCCCGCTGCCAACAGGCGTTCACGTTCTAAATACTGTGTTTCTTCACGGCGATATCGGCGCGCGGCCCTACCGCATTGCAGATTTCAGGGTTGGCTTGGCGAAAGCATGGGTCCTAGGCGACATTGCCGCATGTGGCTCTTTTTAAATTAGCCACGTGTGGATGGTGACCCTGAAGTCCTCATCTGCCAAGCAGAAGCTGGTGGCCACCGGAACCATCGAGGCTAAAAGAAGACACTGTTTCGTCGTTGACCAGAAGAAAAACGAGGTGAGGGTCAAACTTCACTGGGTGCCCTTTTACCTACAGGTAGATAATGTCAGGAGGGCCCTGGAACCGTACGGGAAAGTGACAGAGGTCACAGGAGATCTGTCGCGTTAATGGCTTTGAAGGGGTCCAGTCTACCACGAGGATTGCAAGGCTAGCTTTGAAGGAGGGAGTCACCGTCGAGCAGCTGCCGCACCAACTCCGGACGCCTGGCTGCACGGCACTCGTCCTGGCTCCAGGTAGGGCTCCGCTCTGATTCAGGTGCCGAAGAACTGGCCACATAAGGAGAGAGTGCAGTGTGTCCCGCTGGGGCAGCTGTCGGCGCTTCGGGCACACAACAGAGGACTGTAGGAGGGCGTACGCCGACGTCGCTGACGTGGGGACGGCGGACGAAACCTCAGAGCTCGCCATGGACCAGGAAGAAGCCGAAAAAGCTGCAGGTGCCCCTTCCAGGGCCCCGTCCGCGTCGGAGCTTGCTCCAGATACTGCGGGTGTCACCGAACCCGCGGTCAGAGAGCCATCGCTGGGTTCACCCTCTCAATATCAAGGGCAAGGCAGGACTACTCGAGGTGCGAACTGAGCCCGAACTTTAGTGGTGGGGAAGAAGCCCAGAAGGACGACGAGCAAGATATGGATGCCATGAGTGGCACTGCGAAAAGACCACTAGAAACAGCACAAAGCCAGAAGCCCGAACAGACGGACGGGCTTCAGGAGAGAATGGTCCAGAGGTTTCAGTTGATAACCAAGAGGGCCCGGCACCAAGCAAGGCGTTGTGCTACAGGTGGAAATCTGACAAGAAAGGACTCAAAGGAAAAAGGGACCAGAAATGTGATTGCAGGGTGCCCGGTCTTTGTCACTTAGGAAGAAAACCACAAGTAAGAAAGTTGTACTTTGTATTGGTATATTTACCGCAAAATGTGCTCTTCCAATGGCTTACTCTCACTGCACTCTAACCTCTCTTCCTTGCGTGACTTGGTATTCTTCAATGAGATCCGAATGGCTCTTAGTTTTGCACTTTGAATGTTCGAGGGTTGTCCTCGAGAAAGAAGCAATACCAATTGCAACGTCTGTTGGCAGACGAGCAGCCGGATTTTCTTGCGGTACAAAAGACGAAGATGGAAGCGGAGGATAATATCGCCAGAGCGCCGAGTGCTTATCTGGGGCGATACGAGGTAGCCGTGAGTCATGCTGTGGGCTTTTCGGCGGGCTGTTTTCATTTTCTAAAAGTCTCTAAGATATGAAAACCTACAAGTAGTCATTGATGAGTGCGGACGTTCCATTTCATGCGATTCCATATTGTAAGGAGTGCAATGGCGCTTGATGTGTATTTATGCACCTAATACTGCGAGAGACAGAGAGGTGTTTTTTTTCTCGATTTTTGCACAGTTATGCGGAGTGCGACAAGAGTGTTGTTCTCATGGGTGACTTTAATTGTGTGTGTGACGAACGAGACAGAACCGCGCAGGCAGCGTATAGTGACAGTAGTTCAAGCGCTTTGTAAGAAATCGTCGAATCGTGTGGACTTGAGGACGTTGGTGCGTTGTGCCATAGAAGGGACTACTTTAGGTTTACCCATTTTCAAATTGCATCGCACGCCCGCTTAGACCGTATTTATGTTTCAGTCGGCGTCCTGAAGCAGTGCATGACTATCGCGTTAAGCCCATTTTTTTTTACTGACCATTGCTTTGTTAGCCTCAAAGTTGAAAGGAAAGAAAACCCGACTTCTAGGTTCAACTGGAGACTCTGGAAGCGAAACCGAACGCTTCTAACCGATAAACAGTTCGCTGATACTGCCCATGAGCTGTTGTGCACTATAGCCAAAAGGGAAACCGCCATCAGCGAAGCTTGGGATGTTTTTAAAGAAGACGTTAAATTAGCCGTGGTAGAATGGGCGAGTAACATTACCTTCCAAAGTCGAGCTCGCGAAAGGGAATTGAAGCGAAATTTGAATGCTCTTTGCCTAGTAGAGTGCGAACAACCAGGTAACAAGGATATTCGGTATATAAAATCAGAGCTAGACAAAATACATCTCGAAGTGTATAAGGAAGCTGTCGTGCGTGCACGCTCAGAGAAATTTCTGTGTGGAGAACAACCCACCAAACGAGCGCTCGCTGGCGAGAAGAAATACGCTTTATCCAGAGAAATTCAAGAAATAGAATATAAAGGAACAATCAGTAGCGATGCGGCAGTTATTGAAGGAGTGTTCTTTGAATATGATCAAGACCTCTTTGGTGAAAAAGGGACCCCCATAGGCTTTGATAAGTTAAACGATTTTCTAACACACATGCCGAAACTTCATGACGACGTCAAAACTTGGCTTGAAGGTGATATCACTCAGGGCGAAGTGGACCACGATCCCTAGCGAGACAAAAGACGCCTGGACCTGACGGTCTCGGTGCTGAATTTTACCAAACGTTTAAAGACACAATTAGCCCTTCATTGTTACGTGTTTTTCGTGAGGCATACGAAAATCAACGCCTACCGTTGTCCTCTGCGGAAGCCCATACCATCTTGATATCAAAGTCAGAGGATGAAAAGACAAGGCTTAAAGTCACGGGTTACAGACTCATTACACTGTGTAACACTGATCACAAAATGTTTACCAAGGTCCTTACGCGTAGGCTTCAAAGCATAATCAGCAGTTTAATCGGAAACCACCAGGGCCCGTTTTCTCGAACGCGCACCGTGGTTTAAAGTTAAATATTGTCCCTAGAAGAGGGAATTCTAGGTCACGTGACTGGAAGAGCAGGGGCGCCGAGGGAGGAGCAGTACCTACAAGCAAAATGGCCGCGACGTCGCTTAATGAGGGCTAATAGTTCTTTTTAGTTCTGCTGAACATTCATTTCGACCCGGCTGTTATATTAATGACGCCCCATCAACCCATTAGCACGTCAAGCAACGCGGTAGTTCAGAGAGACTACTAAACTAACCGACGGCAGCATTCCGCGAACGCATCAGTCTTAAGCAGTCCGGGTTCCAAGACATATGACGGTACATAAGCCTTGCAAGTGTTTTTATGGTGAGTAAAAAAATGTTTTGCGAACGAGTGTTGGTATATATTTATACTAGCACGTTTAATTTGTTACACTATGCACGCCAACTCGTGAGCAGCGATTACTTTGCGAAGAAAGGGGGTTATCTTTGATAAAGTCTTCGTTCCGGGTGAACAACTGGGAGATTGTACTGCTTTTGTGTTCGCAGTGCGCCGACAGTATGCCGACAGCATCGAGGTTTCTACATATCCCCGGTGGCCAGCGATTCAACGGTGACGAGAAGCTTAGCTTCTCGTCACCGGTGGATCGGTTGGGCAAAAGGAAAAGAGGGCAAACAGTTGAGATCACCAGGAATCGAAGAAACGTGCGTCGCAAGGAACAAATACGAGACTAGAGCACCGGCGTTGCCAGACTGGAAAGCACACGGGAAAGTTATGCGTTGTTTATGGCGAAACATATTGAAGGAAATGTTTCTTATATTTTCGAATATTCGTCGGCAAATCCTAGCATAGTAGCTAAAATTTCTTCGTGCCATCTGAAGCAAATAAATTGGTCTTCAAGTACAACATTACTATATTTTGACTTAAAATACCATACTAGATCGATAACAACCATCGGGAGAAGAGGATAAAGAAAATAATTGGTTTGTTTCACCGATAGATGGCGCATCTTACTGCCCAATCAAATACTTTTTCCTTCCTAGGCACCGTGGTTTACCAAAATGGGTTTACTATCGCTTCGAGAAAACCAGCCCAGATGTGTCGGATAAAAAGACGCTCCGTAAAAACCCACATTCATGTCCTAAGAAGCATTCTAGAAACAATGGGGAGGGGCCAACTAGCAATGATACAGCTAGACTTCGAGAAAGCTTTCGACAAAGTCCAACATGATGTCATGATGACTATATCAGAGCACGTTAATGTAGGAGACATTATTCTAAAAGGGGTGTACATGACGTATAAAGGGTGTACCACCAGTCTTGTGTTAAATAATCGTGTTTCTAAAAGCACTGCTGTTCTAACGTCAGTGAGACAGGGCTGTCCCCTGTCGCCTTTATTGTTTTCGCTAAACCTCGAACCCTTTTGCGTGAATGCAGCAGCCAGCAACAACATTCCCGGTTTCTCTTTCAATAGCGTCGAGAATAAAGTGTCGGCATAGGCTTACGATGTTGCCGTTCTTTGTAGTGATGCAATAAAGGTTATAAAAACTGTTGTGCTCACCAAAGAATTCTGTAATGCCACTGGCGCGGCGATCAACTGGGGGAAATGTTGTGGAGTGTGGCACGGCATGTGGGATTTAAAGCCTAGGTTTTTTGCGGGTATCCTGGGAAAGTACAACCTGTACTTATCTCGGGGTGCCACTGGAGTATTATAAGAGCAGCACGCCGTACTGGACTGAAGTAGTGAAAGTTTTAAAGAGTAAGGCAGACACATGGGCGAATCGCGGCCTGTCAATATTCGCGAGAGCTACAGCGTGCCATATTTTTCTGGCAGCAAAAATATGGTATTTTTTGCAAGTCTTGTCATGTCCGCGCGTCAACATTCAAAAGTTCTACAGGGTGTTCGGCACTTTTATTTGGAAATCGGGTTGGGAACGGATGAGAAGGGACAACCTCTTCCGGAAAGTGAAGGACGGAGGCCTCGGCCTTTCGCATCTGTTTGTTAGAAAGCTCGTTTCGCGATTCTTCTTCCTGCGCGACCAGAACCACCCGTTTTTACGCAATATTATCCAGGTGAGACTGGCAAACTCCCTACCGACAATGCTGGTGACTAATCAATATACTGAGCCCCCAAGTCTTTTGGGGTACTTGAAAGAGGTGAAAGAGGCCGAACTGCTTTTGCAAACCCGTTTTTCAATGGAGTATCTTGGAACTGTCACGAAGAAAAAGCTCAGCCGAGGCCTGCTTGAGCTCCTTTTTCCCGCACCTTTGTATCGCTCGCAACACAGCCAGTGTCCCGGGCAAGATGTACTTTTTCGCGTGAAAAGAATGTGTGTTCCACCAGCTGCTAAGTCATTTTTCTTTAAGTTGCACAGTGGCACGCTGCCGGTCAAACCGTGGCTAAAAGAAAAATGATTCTTTGTCCCCTGGTCTGTGGATTGCTCCTGTGTAAAACACCCGAAACCATCGAACACGTCTTCATCCATTGTTGGGACGCTGTGTTCTTCTGGGACATTCTGCAAATAACTTTGAACAAAAAAACATTTTATTAACCCAGCACACTATTCGGTACCTTCCAGTTGAGAAGAGCGACAATGTCACATATGATGTTTTAATTGTGCTTGGACTGTTCAGTATTTGGAAAACTAGGATGAAATTACGGCATGCCTACCCCAAGATTAAATTTGTACATAAGTACTTCCTCGAAGTTGTCACCGAGGTTCAGTCTGTATACTGCCGTACTGCAGAAACCGCACCATTGGGCGTACTTGTTTGACGAGATAAAGAACACGAAAGAACTTTAGTTTCGCCCACAAGAAGTGAGGCGAGGTTTTCATGACGTAGCATTCTGTGCTGGATTGTTGTGTCCAATAAAGAAAAAAACAATTTTGTTTGTCTCGTATATTCTCTATCCTCTCTGTAATTCCCCCGGTTTAAATGGGTACGTAAATAAATAAATTAACGCATAAATATCATGCGGTCTTAGAAAACGTCTTTTAGGATAACGCAACCCCGGTGAGGGGAGATGAGAATAAGATTAATTTTAATTTATTATCTATCTGACGAAGTGAAATTTTATTACTGTCGCTGACATTGTGAGAACGACCTCCAGCAGGCTGTTGGCGCCTTCCGTCGTGCTTTGGCTGCCCGTGCAGGCTCGAGGCTCGCGAAACGCCGAAGCGTTATCGGAGGCTGCCAGTGTGCACTGGAGTATGGAAATAGACCATTTGCTATATTACCCAATCATCAAGGCGAATGCAGGGATTGGTGTTCCACGCGCCACACGTGCCACGCGCCACACGCCTTCCCCGTATAAAAGATTCTAAGTAAATAGCCAAAGTAAAGCGTTGACGAACGCTCGTGCAAGATGCCATTTGTTTTAGGCATTTAGGGTAGTAAAGTTACTACTGCTGAGGCCAGCACGCGTTGTGCGGGGAACACCAATCCCTGCATTTTCCTTCATGCTTGGGTAATATAGAAATAGGTCTATTATGAGACTCCTCCCTGCCGTTCTCATTCTGTAGCATTGAATGATAGTTGCTGGCATTCATTTCTCATATCTTTCATATCACTCCAGGTCTGGGCTTGAGCCGGGAGGTCTGGGAACAGGTCATCGGACCAGGAAAAGATCCGAGTGAGAACAAGGCGGGGGACACCGCACCTATAGCAAGACGACACCGGAAGCAACGAAACAGGGCACAGAGCTGCGACCGAGCGGAAAGTAGCCTCGACGTCTTCGAGAGTGGGCAGCCTCTAGTCTTCTTTCTGTGGCTGGACCCCACCGATGGACGCCGCGGTGCAGTGAAGAAGTCAACGGACCATAGAGGACACCCATTTAATCTCAGCTGGATGCCGTGATATACGCCAGTAGGCACGGCGGACCGAAGCAGACGTTCTTGAGGTTAGATGCGTACTCAGACAATGCTGACCAGTGCTTCCTTCTTCGGGGTATATGGATCATTCAAACGTGTCTCCCTGGAGCATTGTTTGTTTGGTTGGCGACTTCATCCTAGGTTCAAGAACGCCGGAAACGCCGGTCGCGCTCCTATAGTACCATTATGGACAGTGTTATATGCGATTGACTACAGATCTTCGCTGTCCCAGGTCACCTTAAGAAGTAGGCTTTCTCGCTAGAACTCCGAAGACAACTGCACACGCCAAGGACGACTAGCCTCACTCGTTGGAAGATAGAGATTGCGAATGGAGTCGCTTGTAGCGAACTAAAGAGTCGTTGGATCGTGTCGAGTTTGTGTAGTGTAGTACTAAGGTGAACATCAAGCCGGTGCTTCCGGACAGTTTCAGGTAGAGCTGTGGAAGTCTTAAGTCGCAGTCACACGTCTAATACACGTACATCAAACCGAAGACCATCTGCAGACGCTATCTGAGCCGTGTTTCTTCTTTGTATTATGGTCCTGCTACTTTGGCCGCACACAAAATTATCTATAGGCATGTTGTAAACATGCACATGCACGAATCAAACATGCTACGAACATGCTTGACGCGTGTCCCCTGCATGACAGGTCATACGTGTCTGCAGCCCGTGTCTTTTTTATGTGTGCAAAGTGTGACTGCAGCTTTAAGCCGGGGTCACACTGCTCATACATTATACAAAAGACAGCCTGCACACGCGAGTCACCGCCATATCCGTGGTTCCAATGCCGCGTGCCCAGGTGTCCTCTTCGATCTCATTGCCATGCGGCATTCGAAGCACGGATCTCGCCGTGACTCGCGTTCGAATCTGTATGCAGGCTATATTTTGTGTGATGTACAAGCGGTGTGACCACACGGGCTTTAGGGTTGGCTCCAACATCTGCGTTTTGAGTTTGACCGACCGAGGTACAACCGCTTACTGCTGCTTGCAACGAGCGTTACCATGGCAACCGAGGGCCGCGCATTGTGTCGTGGTGAAACGCAGCGCAATGTGACGTAGCGCGGTGTGCAGTTGAGTCACATATATCTGAACCAGCTCTAACGGTGGCCCACGTGACACCCATTTTCATATACACTGGCTCGAATGCGTCTTCGACCGATAGCACTTAAAGGAGCTGTGCAACGATATTCAGTTGGAATGTTTTTCACTATACACGAGCTTACTGGCAGTAGTGGGACTCAAGGATACTCGCACGCAACGCCACTGGCCAAGAAACTCCTTTGTTGCGGTGAAATTTCAAGGACAAAAGCAATTATTTGCGTTCAATCTCCCCTTTGCAAAATTTGATGACGAAACGTGGGGATCGCAGAACGCCCAAGTGACGATATTTGAATGCGGTTCATAGATTAGACCCGAGCCCTGCGTGGGCACTCGATTTGGGCTCGCGATAATTACTAGCTCGAGAAGCATTCGGGTAGTCGCCCGCGTCCAATCGCTGCAACGACGACAATAGCCGAGCCATAACAATGTCTGGAACTCAGCGCGTGTCCTGCGCTTTGCCAACCCCAGCGCGTGGCTATGATGAACATTGGCGGCATATAATCGGCTCCAGATCGCGTGGCCGCTTGTTCTGACTGCGAGTTGAGGGGGTGAACGCTGCTCGCTTTTCTTTAATTTTTTTTTCTGGGAATTCTATTGCGTGAAGTGAAAAACAAACGCGAGTTTCATAGGTCATTAAAGGAGCTGTGCAACGATATTCAGTTGGAATGTTTTTCTCTCTACACGAGCTTACTGGCACACCTGAAACTCAAGGATACTCACACGCAACGCCATTGGCCAAGAAACTCCATTGTCGCGGTGTAATTTCAAGGACAAAAGCGATAATTTTCATTCAATCTCTCCTTTGCAAAATTTGATGACGTAACTCGGGGATCGCAGTACACCCAAGTGACGATATTTGAATGCGGTTCATGGATTGGACCCGAGCATTGCGTGGGCACTCGACTTGGGCTCGTGACAATTGCTAGCTCGAGAATCATTCGGGTTGTGACCCGTGTCCAATCGCTGAAACGACGACAACAGCCGAGCCATAACAACGTCTGGAACTCAGCGCGTGTCCTGCGCTTTGCCAACCCCAGCGCGTGGCTATGATCAACGCTGGCGGCATATAATCGGCTCCAGATCACATGGCCGCTTGGTCTGGCTGCGAGTTGAGGGGGTGAACGCTGCTCGTTTTTCTTAATTTTTTTTCTGGGACTTCTATTGCGTGGGGTGAAAAACGAACGCGTGTTTCATAGGTCATTAACGTTGGGGATCCGTTTTAAGCGGTATTTGTGCACAGTATAAAGATTGTTGCATCGCTCCTTTAACGTCAGGGATCTGTTCTAAGCGGTATTTGCGCAAAGTACAAAAACGGTTGCATCGCCCCTTTAAAATCCCTGATAGGTTGGGAAGGGCATGGAGTCTTTTTCAGGTGCCCTGTCTCCAGCCAATACCAGCTGTAGATGACAAGGCCTGCGCATGATGTCATTGTTAGTGGACCTGACCTGCCTCAAAGAGGCAAACACGCCGAAGCTTGACTAGAGTACGTCGCAAAGCGGGCACACGCGTGCGTCTGGCGTCGCCAGGTGGCGCTGCGTGAATCAGCTACTACTTCTTTGGGCAAGTAATGGGCCAACATGGCTTCGGAGATCTAAGGACTGCAGGGAACACATATGGGTTCACGGGAAAATAGGTAATGTTCCGACAGCGGTCTGCATTATATATGTTTCGGTGGGAAACGCCCGCAAAGAAGAGAACATTGCCATCTTCGAATGTGTTCGCCGAGATATCCACAACATGGACCACAGTCTCTCTGTGCTTATAATGGGAGATTTTAACGGCCACCTGGTTGAATTGGACGGACGAGAAGATAACAACGGCAGAATGATGAGACAGCTGGCGGAGGACCTTGACTTGGAGATCTTGAATTTAAGAGATGACTGTAAGGGACAACATACGTGGTCTGTGCGAGACCGACGGACTTGCATAGGCTATGCGCTCGCGTCGAATAGACTTGGGATTCATCTTCAAAAGATAGTTGTTGATGAAGAGGGCACGTGGAGCATCAGCAGTGACCACAACAGCATTTTTCTACACTTTGGCACTGTTCAAAGAACTCGAGATAGCAACCAGCGCAAAACTATAACCCGGCTACACGAGGAAGACATAGATGCTGTCGTTCAGAACTTTGACGAAAGTACTCGGCGTGGGCAAGCACTCAGCTATGATGATTATGCAAAAGAGCTTAGAATAATCATTGCTGAATACTCCACAGTGAAGAGTGCCAAAGGAAAACGAAAACTCGTGTCGTGGTGGGATTTAGAAATCAAGAAATGGATTTGTATACGACAAGACGCTAACCGGCGGCACAGACATGCGTTAAAGACTCTTGGAAAGGATCCTGTGACTCTACAGCTATGGGAAGAGTATCGCAAGTGCAAAGCAGAGACGCAAGGTATGGTAGAAGCGAAAAAACAAGCACATGATTGTAAGGTGATGGCGGACATAAGAAACGGCGGAAAGAAAGCAGTAGAAAAGTTCTGGAGATATATAGCTTCGCTAGACGGCAAGGACAAAGCTCCAGAGCTGCTGGATTACGACAGTGGATGTCCAGTTCAGCATATCGGGGAACTGCTTGAGAAACAACTTGTAATCCTTTTTGGTGCTACGGAGGTCGTAAGCTCGCCAGAAGAAAGGAGCAATACGAGTCTGCTCGCCGAAAGCCTCACGCTATCGACTTCTACTGATGATGGTACAACCCTAGTGGGACGGGTGCAAGTCGATCGCGCACTCACGCGGTTGAGCGGGAATACTTCCCAGGGATTAGACGGGATATCAGCAAAGGTGTTGAAGAACTTGAGACTAGACTCACGAGAACATTTAGCACACCTGTTTACTCGAATAATTCGCGGCGAAGAGCCAATACCAAGTGACTGGAGGCGCGGTCGAGTCACGTTCATTTTCAAGAAAGGTGGCAACAAACAACATCTGTGTGACTACCGCCCACTTACTGTCACGGTTGTGGCATACAGGGTGTTTGCGACAATTATCAATTGGCGAATCTCATCTTGGGCCGAAGATGCTGGGGTTCTTACGGAACTACAAAACGGTTTTCGTAGGGATCGTCGACTAGAGGACAACGTGTTCACTCTAACTCAATGCACAGAGATCGCTCGGGCGGAAAAGCGAAATCTTATATGTTGCTTTTTGGACATAGCCAAAGCCTACGACTCCGTACCACATACGTTGCTAATCAGGAGGCTACAACAACTGGATATGCCGGAACCCTGGGTGAGACTTATTCAGCGTATCTATGATGGAAACCACGTAATGGCAACATTCAACGGGACCACATCTGGGGATGTTCCGGTGAACAGGGGACTACGTCAGGGCTGCCCGTTATCCCCCGTTCTGTATATGCTATATACGTCCGGCATAGAGAAGGCATTGGAAAAAACCGGTGTCGGTTTCACTCTACAACACAGGCAGCACGGGGACATGGTCAAATGGCGGCTCCCTGGTCTTGCTTTTGCCGACGATCTTGTGCTGATGGCCGACAATGTGGCAGACATGAAGGTACTGTTGACCACCTGCGAAGCACAAGCGGCTCAGCTTCGACTGCATTTCAATGCCAGTAAGTCAGCCGTGGTGCTGTTTTCCGGTCAGGGCGAGGTCCTTGAACCCCTTACCATCCAGGATAAAGCACTTCCTCTTAGTACCCGATAGAGATACCTTGGTGTTACACTGACCTGTTCCGAAGATTATCTAAAAGAACACAATGAAAATCTCAAGGCATCGGCACTAAGAAAGCGAAACATGCTGCGTCGAGAAAGTCTTTGGAGCTGTGACCGGTATCTAGTAACCCGAGAACTTTGGAAAGCGGTCGCGGTACCAGGATTGACTTCCGCCAATAGTGTTACGTGTACACCCAGCGAGATCCGGGAATACATTGAAAGACGGCAACGAGAGATTGGACGCCAGGCACTAGGATGCCACAGCAGGGTGGCCAATCAACTTGTTCAAGGAGGTCTCGGATGGTCCTCTTTCGAGGCACGTGAAGCCAGCAGCAAACTCGAATATTATGCCCGACTTCGACATATGGATGGAGACTGCTGGGCGAGGAGAATTTTCGTATACCTGCATCTAAAAAACGTACACACAACGTGGAGGCGTCGAGTCATTCGACTTGGAACAAAGTATGATGCCTTCTCAATGACCGACGAGCCATCTACAAAGAAAGACTGGGGAGCCAAGGTTAGAGGGCAGATAAAGACTGTCGAGGCAGACCGCTGGAGGGCAGACATGCAAGAACATTCAAGTATGCACCTC